AAAGAAAAGAGGAAGATGAAAGGGAGATGGAGAGAGAGAAGAAGAGGGAATACAGACAGGCATACCAACTAGTGAATAAACAGAGAGACAAAGACAGAAAAAACAAAAAAGACAAAAACATACAGATAGTCATACAAGCAAACAACCCCCCCATAGTGTACTCTCCCTCAAAAATACCCATACATAAACATAAAATTTCGTCCCCAAAATTGAAATAACAGAAACAAAGCAAGTTCAAAAACATAAACAAAAACAAAAAGAAAAAGAGAAGAAAAAAAGCTAAAACTGAAACAGGAAACAAACAAGGAAAAAACAAACAAAAATAACTTTCTGGCAGTTTCTGTGAGCCCAGTTTCCTTTCAGACCTTTGCCTTAGGGAGCAGCTCTGGTCTCCAACCCCTCCCCTCCTCTCAGCACAGGCTGATAGGGTTTCTCTCAGCATGGGTCAGATGACCCGTGGACTACTGTGGCAGGAGGATGGATCACATCCAGACTCACCCTACTCGCTGCTGCTGCTGTCAGGTCTTCCACTCAGACCTGACATGTCTGTGCCTGTTCCAGCATGGGTGAGGATGTCTGTCTCTCCAAGTCTGATAAGGTAAAAGCCTCTGGGTCTCAAGATTGAGACTGGGTGGAGCTGGGCAGGGCAATTCAAGTCTCTGTCTCCTCTGGACTGAGAAGATGGCACTCAGCGGTTACAGATTTCCATTACCTGCCTGAGGTCCTCTCTTGCCAGGTCTGCTGTTGCAGGTGATGACTTGGGTCAGGTGCCAGTGCTGAAGGGCAGCTGCTCTGCCCAGGTCTCCAATCTCAGGGCCGTGGGGGGTTGCAGTCACCTCTGGAGGAGACCCCTAGTTGTATGAACCTGGGTCTTCCCTCAGATGGACTTTCACTCATTCGGTGGTACATACCCACTCACACAGAGAGTTTTTATGAACACTGGCTGTTGCGGAGACTCTCACAGTCCAACCTGTTCCATCACCATCTTGCCTGGAAGTGATAAGTATACTTTCTAAAAAGGAGAAACTCACCCAGAACTGTGAAATCTTTTTTTTTAAATTTTTTTTTTAAGTTGGAGTCTCACTCTATCACCCAGGCTGGAGTGCAGTGGCATGCTCATGGCTGCTGCAGCCTTGACCTGCTGGGCTCAAGTGATCCTTCTGCCTCAGTCTTCCAAGTAGCTGGAACCACAGGTGTGCGCCATCACACCTGGCTAATTTTTTAATTTGTTATAGAGATGGGGTATTGCCATGTTGCTCAGGCTGCTCTCTAATCCCCTAAGCTCAGGCAATCCTCTAGCCTCTGCCTTCCAAAGTGCTGGGATTACAAGCACAAGCCATCACATCCAGCCTTTTAAATTTTTTTTGAGTTGAAGTCTCACTCTATCACCCAGACTGGAGTGCAGTAGCATGACCACGACTCACTGAGGTCTTGACATCCTGGGCTCAAACTATCCTTCTGTCTCAGCCTCCCAAGTAGCTGGGACTATTGGTATATGCCACCAGGTCCGGCTTATTTTTTTATTGATTTTTAATTTGTAGAAGTTTGCCCAGGCTGGCCTGAACCCTTGGGGTCAAGCAATCCTCCCATCCCAGTCTCCCAAAGTGCTGGAATTACAGGCATGAGCCACTGCACCTGGTCAAGAAATGCAAAATTGTTAACCCACAAATCTAACAACTGAGTGAGCACAGGGCTGTGGCAAACTGAGCTTCTGAAGAATCACGAGATTGGGATGCCCAGAGAAAAGGCACAGAGATTATCCGAGCTCCTTAGCAGCACAGCTCAGAAAGGTCCAGCAAAAACATACACCTGGGGTGAATGGCTCACTTGAAAGTCCAGGCATTCTGTCCTTGGTCTGTAAATGCTGAAGGCCCTGAGAGTGCAGGGAGATGACAGAAACCTTCCAGATTCAGCTTGGATCAGAGAACCAGAGGGAGCAGGGCTACACAAGAAAATTTCCCAGAAAAGCCACACCCATCAGGATCCGTGGTCTCTGTGACAGCAAAGACAGGTCCTTTGGAAAGTGTGAAGCCTAGAAAAAAACCCCGAGACTTCTCACCATCCACGAATCTGCCTGTCAATTGCTGGTCCAGAAAAGTATGCTAATAAGAAATAAATGTTGACCAGACACTGTGGTTCACACCTGTAACCTCAGCACTTTGGTAGGCTGGGGCAAGAGGATTGCTTGAGCCCAGGAGTTTGAGAACAGCTTGGGCAAAATACCAAGACCTTGACCCTACAAAAAAAAAACAAACCCAAAATTAACTGGGCATGGTGGTACACGCCTGTTGTCCCAGCTCTTTGGGAGGCTGAAGTGGAAGGATCACCTGAGGCCAAGAGGCCATGGTGGCAGTGAGCCATGATGGTGCCACTGCACTTCAGCCTGGGTGACAGAGTGAGACTCTGACCAAAAAAAAAAAAAAAAAAAGTGTCAAGAAAGGCTATGACACAGCACCAACACAAGGATTTTATAAGAAAAAATGTGCCAGGCTCAGTGGCTCAGCCTGTAATCCTGTGCTTTGGGAGGCTGAAGTGAGTGGATTGCCTGAGCCCACGGGTTCGAGACCTGCCTGGGCAACTTGGCGAGACCTCATCTCTACAATAAATCAAAAATTAGCTGGACGTGGTAGCGCACGCCTGTAGTTCCAGTTACTTGGAAGGTTGAGGCGGAAGGATCGCGGAACCCAGCAGGTCGAAGCTGCGGTGGCTGGGAGCAGCCACTGCTCTCCAGTCTGGGTGACAGAGTGAGACTCCAACTCAAAAAAAAAAAATTGAGAAAGTTAAAAAACTGACGAGTGAATGAAAAACATTCACAAAAAGATACCAGCAGAACAGATAAAAATGCTGACCACATATCCACCACATGGTAAAATTCATAATGTAACAATCACCTCCTTGTCGGAAAACCACAGAGCACACATACAGGAACTCATACATTAGTTAAGGTTTTTCTTTGGCACTTTTGCTGTGCTATCTTTGGATTGAGAATGTCCTTCCCCTTCAGGGAACATAAAAATACTCATATATTGAAATTTTTTTTTTGAGTTGGAGTCTCACTCTGTCGCCCAGACTGGAGTGCAGTGGCCGCTCCCGGCCACCACAGCCTCCACCTGCTGGGCTCCGGCGATCCTTCCGCCTCAGCCTTCCGAGTAGCCGAAATTATAGGCATGCGCTACCACGCCCGGCTAGTTTTTTGATTTATTGTAGAGATGAAGTCTCGTTGCCCAGGCGGGTCTCGAACCCGCGGGCTCAGGCAATCCACTCACCTCAGCCTCTCAAAGGCGCAGGATTACAGGCTGAGTCACCGAGCCCGGCTGAAAAATTTTTTACATGAGTCCATACTTTTGCTTTTTATTAATCTGAAATTTTTATGTAATAAGGTATCAACTAAGTATATAACAATTTTTTTCACTTGCTAGTTGTTTCAGTATCATCGACTGAATAATAAACATTTTTTCCCTACATATTAAAGATTCTACTAGAATCATATTCTAAAGTCTTCTATATGTGAATACCTAATATATGTATATGGATTTACATACGTGTTTATGAATTGCTTTCTGGGCATTCCATTCAGTTTTATCAGTTGTTTTTTATTTTGTAACTAATTTAGGACCAGTATACAAAGATGAATCAAAATACATTTATTCTATTATCTATAAAGATGTCAACATATCTCAAAATACTTTAAGGAAAGACCATACATATTCCAGTTGAATAATACAGTCATGTTTTGCAGAGGCAATTTTATTTACCTTTAGGAGGCAAAACTTACATTATCAAGTAAGGTTTTTGTTTTTGTTTGTTTGTTTTTTTAAGCAAATGGCATGCATCTTCGTAAGATTACCCTTTTTCAACAAAAAGCATTATTTTTTCCCTTCCTGAACATTGTCTATATATCCTACATAGCATGATTCTTTACAAGAAAATTAAGTCAGATTCAGATAGTCAAATTATAATGATAATCCTCAATGTGAAGGTGAAATCGTCATTACCTTAGAAAAGAAAATGTCCCTGAGTGTTATACATATATTTAAAAACAGAATAAAACAAAGAAGCAAGAAAAATGACTTTTAATTTTTTCAGTGGGATTTATTTATGTTTAAGTAAAATTAGCAAATATTACATAAATTATTTCCTTAAGAACATTTATTTTGTACAACCACATTTTTATCAAGCAACATTTATGGAAAGTTATCTGGGTTCTTGATACTGAACTTTGTTACTATTGTAGCATCCTCCTTTCTAAGTTTAAATGTGACTTTGTGCACCTCAGAAACATGGCTTCACATTGCAGAACTGTCACGTGTTATAACCCGACATAAGACGATAAGCCTATTGATGAAGAATGCTTTATCTTTTGTTGATTTACACAATGGTATTTGTGTGTGTGTGTGTCATTATCAAACCCATATGATTTTTTTTCAGTTCACTTTTCTTCTGCTACAATGAAAATAAACCATTTAAAACTAAGCAGTGCGACAATGGAATTGACCAAATATATTTGATGTTACATCTTATATAGAATGTTTTAGGTGACATTAATGTTTTATATTACACATCTGAATTTAATACACTTTGGATAATAAAAAGAACATGTCTGGTAAACAAACAAAAAGCTTATTCTGAAAACTGATGAATTATCAATCACAAAACCTTGCATTTCTTCTTCAGAAGTGCAGTGGAATCACCATTTAATATTAACATTTTAAAAGCTTACTGTTGCCGGGCTCAGTGGCTCAGCCTGTAATCCCGTGCCTTGGGAGGCTGAGGTGAGTGGATTGTCTGAACCCGCGGGTTCGAGACCCGCTTGGGCAACTTGGTGAGACCTCACCTCTACAATAAATTTTAAAAAATTGGCAGGGTGTGGTAGCGTGCGCCTGTAGTTCCAGCTACTTGGAAGGCTGAGGCGGAAGGATCGCTGGAGCCCAGCAGGTCGAGGCTGTGGTGGCTGGGAGTGGCCACTGCACTCCAGTCTGGGCGACAGAGTGAGACTCAAAAAAAATAAATAATAAATAAATAAAATCTTGCGGCTATAACTTTTTTCATATTCTTATTTTATACATTTTTAGATAACAACAATCGTATGATGTTATTGCTAAGACCTTATTACTTGGTTACACGTGGTTATCAGATTTTGGGCTGACTTTGCAGTTCTCGTATTTGTGAACATTAATTATTTCACTGTTTTCTTTTACAAACATGTGCTTATGCTCAGGACCCAATGACTGTAATGAGGAGTCATTGATAATAATAAATGTACAATGGTTAGGGCATTGACTAATCTTAGGAGTTAAAGTTTTGGTTGCTATGATAATAGCTCTGACTGTTAACTGTACAGAGAAGTATTTGGGGATTGGGAAATGCATATTTTAAAAGAAACCATATTGCATGCTTATTTGACTGGTAGAAATTCTCTGGTTTGATGCATCACTAGTATTTAAGGTGGAATCTACATGCAGCTTCTTCAGCAAGTTTGTTGGTCCTCAGGAGAGTCCATCAGTTACAAATGTCTTACAGTTTGTCACTGCACATATGTCTCTGTGCTCACTGCTAGGAAGTTTGCAGATTCTCCAACAAAATCCAATGCTAGATTTAGAATTGAAGGTGCTTTGTTTCAGATACCTGTAATACCTATAAAAAGCAAATTTGAAAAAAAAAGTGCAAACATGTTAAAACTTTAGTAGTATTTTTAATGATTGTATATTAGTTATATCTGTACTTACTACAAATACGTATTAAATATACACAGCTTTGAGGGACTTCTGGTTCCAAAATGGCAGTGTAGAAGCAAGTTGACCTCACTCCTCACCACAGAAAACCAAAACCAAATATACAGCACTGAGATTATCACCAGCAATCTCCCAGAACTCAAATATGAGAACGACACAATTTCCAGGGCCACAGAGACATGAAAAAACTCCAAGCAGATGGTAAAAGAATTGGATTTCCATATCTGTGATGCCACTCCCCCCAGTCTCCACACCACCAAGCACAAGGAAAGTTTCCCCTACTCACTGTTTCTGTACTGGAAAAAGTAAGATCAAGGTGGACAATGAGCTTCCCATCAACTTGGGCTCCCTGGCAGGAGACCCATTCCTCCCTCAACATATAGGTAGCTTCAGGAGTGCCTTAAGGGAGAAATATCCCTGAAGACAGAGACAAAGGGAAGAGGTAGAACCACTATCCTCAGGTCTGGAAACTCTGCTCTGTAACTCTGCCAAAGAAAATGCCAAATCAGAGTGCTGTTCAGCAGCACCACACTGTAGGAGTTTTGTTCCACAGGTCCCCTGGGCATAAACCCCTAGCCAACCCTTGCACACTACCAGGATGCACCCTCTGGAACCTCCCCTAAATCAGACAGGGAGCATTCTGATTGTTTATTAGAACTGAGGCAAACTTAGCCGTAAGGTGCCATCTATTGCCGAAAAGGAGGCAGAAACCTAGCAGGAAAAGAAAAAAAGTCATCTGGCATATTACAAAGAATCTTAAAGCAAACATATTTAATAAAACCAATGCAAGTCAGACAGAGTAGGCTGGAATAATAACTAGTCCTTCAACGCAAAGACATAGAGCTACCTCCAGCAGAAGCAGTAGCAAAAAGGGAACCATGACCTCCTCTAGCGGACAAAGCAAGAAACCAGTGCCTGACCCTAATGAGATGGTGATATGTGAACTCTCTGACCAAGCATTCAAAATAGTAGTTTTAAGAAGCTCAGTGATCAAGATAACACAGGAAAACAATTCAGAAATATATCTGAACTTTAACAAAGAGATTGCAGTAATTAAAAAAATCAAATCTTGGAACTGAGAAATACATTTGCTGAACTGAAAAATTCATTAGAGGCTCTCAACAACAGACTGGATTAAGCAGAGGAAATATTAGTGAACTCAAATACAGGCTTTTAAAAAATATACTGTCAGAGGCAAAAAAAGAAGAAGGAAGAGGAACAAAGATAACTTTCAAGATATAGAAAACTACCTAAAAAGACCAAATCTAAGAATTATTTGTGTTCAAGAGGGAGTTGAGCAAGAACAAGGAGTAGAAAACTTGTTCAATGAAATAGCTGGGTGCAGTGGTTTATGTCTGTAACCCCAGCACTTTAGGAGGTAGAGGTGAAAAGATTGCTTGAGCCCATGGGTTCAAGACCAGCTTGAGCAATTTGGCAAGATCTTGTCTCTACAATAAATAAAAAAAATTAGCCAGGCATGCTGGCGCACGCCTGTAGTTCCAGCTACTTGGAGACTGAGGCAGAAGGATAGCTTGAGCCTAGCAGGTCAAGGCTACGGTAGCCATGAGCTTGCCACCGTACTCTAGCCTGGGTGACAGAGTGAGACTCTGTCTCAAAAACAAAACAAAACAAAATCCGCAAACCAAAGCAAACCAAACAAAAACCTAAATAGCATCCAACTTAAATAAGACTACATATAATATATTCTCATAGGTAAAAGACAAAGAAAGGATCCTAAAAGCAGCCAGATCAGATAAAAGAAGCAAATACCATATGAAGGAGCTCAAGTTTGTCTGGCAACAGACTTCTCAATAGAAACTACATATGCCAGGAGGGAGTGGAATGACATTTTTTTTCAATTCTTTTTTTCTTTTTCTTTTCTTTCTTTTTCTTTTTCTTTTTTTTGAGAAAGCAGGATTTATTGAGAGAACAGAAAAGCCCCCACAGTGGGAGGGCACCCGAAGGGGTTGCACTGGAATAACATTTTCAAAGTGCTCAAAGAAAAAGACTGTCATACAAGAATACTTAACCAGAAAAATTATCCTACAAGTATGAAGGAGACTTAAAGCCTTTCCCAGACAAACCAAAGATGAGAGAATTTACCACCACCAGAGTCATTTTACAAGAAATGCTACAGGGAGTTCTTCAGTGTGAAAGATACAATGTACAAAAAAAATTTAAGGGTGTAAAACCTACTGGTAAAAATTAAGTATACAGACAAACCTGGAATTCTCTAATACTGTTATTGTGGCATGCAACCCACTTATAACTCTATATGAAGCCCAAATGACAAATCTATCAAAAACAACACCTACATCAAGCTGTTAGGAGAACAGGCGATATAAAAATACATAAACTGATTCAACATAAAGTCAGAATGTATTAAAATGTAGCTTTTTGTTTTCATTTTTTCTTTGCTTCTAATGTTTTCTTTGTGATCTGAGATAAGATGTCATCTCTTCAAAATAACTTGTTATAGCTAGGTGTGCAGGCTCATGCCTGTAATCACAACACTTTCGGAGGCAAAGGTGAGAGGATTACCTGAGCCCAGGGGTTCGAGACCAGCCTGGGCAACTTGGAAAGACCCCATCTCTACAATAAATTTAAAAATTATCCAGGCATGGTGGCATGCACCTGTAGTTCCAGCTACTTGGAAGACTGAGTTGGAAGGCTCGCTTGAGCCCAGCAGGTTGAGGCTACTGTGGCCATGAGTGTGCCACTGTACTCCAGCTTGGGCAACAGAGTGAGACCCTGACTTTAATAATAATAATAATAATAAATTGACTTGTTATAGCTATACTATTTTTGTAAGTTTCATATTAAGCATAATGTAAAAACTTGTAATAGATTCACTAAAAATTAAAAGCAATGAGTTAAAACATAATACCAGAGAAAATTACTTAACCACATGTTCTTCACTCATAGTCAGGAACTAAAAAAGTGGATCACATGAAGATGGAGTGTAGACTGGTGACAACCAGAGGCTGGGAAGGGTAGGGGGTAGACGGGAATGAAGAAAGGTTGATTAATGGATACCAACATACAGCATGACGGAGGAAACAAGACCTAGTATTTGATAGAGCAGTAGGTTGACTATAGCTTACAACAATTCATTATGTATTTCAAAATAGCTAGAATAGAATAATTCAAATATTTCTAGCATAAAAAGAAGACAAATATTTAAGGTTATATTTTAATTGCTCTGATTTGATCTTTACAAGTATTATGAATGCATGACATTATCACATGTATCCCCCAAATATGTAAACTTATTATGTATCAATAGAAATAAAATTATAAACAATTAAAAAATACAAATTGTTAATAACTATCACTGTTACAGTGGCTTAGGGATTATTTTATGACCTATTCATAGAAGTTCCACCATAGAAATTAGAGTATTTTACATTATAATGATCTCAGGTGAGGTTTCAAAAACTTTTAAACTCATCTTTATGCTAATGAGGATTAAAAAATTGTTAGGTAAATTTGAAAATATACCAAGTAAAATGAACTACCTCCACATACACTCAACCATCTTAAAAATTATCAACAATTCTGTCATTCTTTAATAACATTTGTTGATTGTTTATTAATTAGCTGATAATTTCCCAAGTCTGCCATCTGCCTTTCCTCATCTGAAACTCCAAAAAACCAAATGAGCTAGGCCAGAGGCAGAATTTCTGTGATGCTAATAAAACTTCCTTGTCTCAGTACCTTCCAAAAAAGAGGCCCTAGCAAAATGTCTTTACATATTTACATATTTTGTTAAATTTACAAAAATAAAATATTTCGACCATAATAAGTTAATGCTGCTGTTTTTTTCCTCCACTTCAAAAACTCTCTTTCATAATTTTTGCTCCTATGTGAAACAGCAGTAGGCATTTCCGAGATTTTTGTTAAAGGTTGACTGGGATATACATATGTACTTCATGATCTCTTCCATGCGTAGTTATGCTATTGCGGATCATCTGAGTTTGGGGTGGGGTGTCCTCTATAAATATTCTGAATATGGTCAATTCAAAGAATATTCAAGAGCAGCCACTCCATAGAAAACTCTAAATGCTCTGAAATCTTATAGCTTAGATAGAAAAAAACTCAATAGAGGTTTCACCAAATTTGGCAATAATCCTAAAAATTACATAGTGTTACTGTCAAAGAGTTGAGAATGTGAAAAAAAAACCCTCTGTAAACTGTTATAAAGAAAAATAAAACAGCAACTTTTCATCTAATGTGCTAGAGGATAGGCTAAATTGTTTTTCTATTTCATCTATAAAAAGTCTACTACAAAGTTTTTGTCAAATAAAGAGGCAACCAACATGTATGCAACCCAAAAAAGTGGGATAAAAATATTGTAGCACTGTTAATAAAAATATTATGTAGGCTGGGCTCAGTGGCTCAGTCTGTAATCCCAGCACTTTGGGAGGCCGAGGTGAGTGGATTGCCTGAGCCTGTGGGTTCGAGGCCCACATGGGCAACTTGGCGAGACCTCATCTCTACAATAAATCAAAAATCAGCTGGGCATGGTAGCATGCGCCGGTAGTTCCAGCTACTTGGAAGGCTAAGGCGGAAGGATCGCTGGAGCCCAGCAGGTCGAGGCTGTGGTGGCCGGGAGCGGCCACTGCACTCCAGTCTGGGTGACAGAGTGAGACTCCAACTCAAAAAATAAAAAATAAAAACAAAAATATTATGTAATATTCTCTTCATTATGTAATATTTGAGAAATTTGTTAACTTTTAAACATTATGTAGCTTGCATGCTTAATTTTCTTCTAAATTAATGTGCAGAGTTGTAACTGATTGCCTATTCATAATTTTGCATTCCTTTTCTTAAAGGGGGTTCTGCAAATTCTTCAGGTTCCACAAATCCTGGATCTGTCCCTGAGTTATATAGCATTATCATCCTTGTTTAAACTGAATTTCAGAAAATCAAGTGACTCTCCAAAGTTCCCAGTTATTCAAAGGTAGACCAGGCTTTAAACATTAGAGAAGAGTGATGGTTAGATGTATGTGTCAAATTGGCTGGACCATGGTACCCGGTTGTATGGTCAAATACCTAGTCTACATGTTACTGTGAGGGAACAGTATTTTTAGATATGACTGGGCCTCTTCCAATCAGTTGAAGGCCTTAAGAGAAAAGACTGAGAACCTAAGGAAGAAGGTATTTTTGCCTCTGGATTTCAACGTCAACTCTTCCCTGGGTCTCCAGCTTGCCTCTGGCCTGCCCTTCATTTTCAGACTTGCTAGCATCCACAATTTCATGAGCCAACTCCTTAAAATAAATCTGTTTTATATATATATATAATTTATTATATAATATTATACATACATAATTTATTACTGTATTAGTCATGGTTCATCAGGAAAATAAGACCAATAAGAAAAATATATATTTACCTCCCCTATATATACCTATCTCTCTCTCTACATATATAACCTTCTTTAAGAAAAAGAATGCAAAATTATAAACACATACGTATATATATTTTGTCAAATATATACATATATTTTGTCAAATAAAGAGGCAACCAACATGTATGCAACCCAAAAAAGTGGGATAAAAATAATGTAGCACTGTTAATAAAAATATTATGTATGTGTTTATAATTTTGCATTTTTTCTGAAAGAAGATTCTATAAATTCTATTAAGCTTCATATATATGGTACAAATAGATATACAGAATATATAGAGATATAGATATATATAGGTATATATAGGGGAGATAAATATATATTTTTCTTATTGGTCTTGTTTTCCTGATGAACCATAACTAATACAGTAAGAAATTCAAATAACTATATGTTAGTGTAGGCTCTCTACTAGTTACTAATCGTATGACCTTGGCAAGTCATTTAACCTCTTTAGGCTTTAGTTTCATTATCTCTGAAATAAGAAAACCATATCAGACTAGAGCTTCTCAATCTCAGCGCTACTGACATTTTGTGTTGAGTGATTCTTTGTTGTGGGAGGGAGTTCCTATGCGTTGCAGGATGTTTAGCAGTATCCCTGGCCTCTGTCCACTAGATGCCAGTATACCACCCTGTTGTGAAAACAAAATATCTCCAGACGTTCCTAAATAGCCCCCGTGGGAAGGAGGAGGCAAAAAATCACTCCCCATCCCCGCTGTATTAGATAATCTTTAAGTTATAATATATGCATTTGCAAATTATGCTAGAGATTATATACACGGAAGCAGCTTTTGGAAATTTCAGGAGCAGGCTGTTTGATCACTTTCTGAGGTATTATAGAGGTAATATCCTAACATATTGTAACTTTATAGCAACTTCAAGAAAGAAGTACAAAAACAGAGAAAGGCCAGAAAAATTGGTATCATCAAGCTCTTGGCATGTGAGAGCTATAGTCAACCTGAAGGCGGTCACAAGAAGGAGGGAGAATAAACTGCAAAAAGCAGAGGGAAGGAATTTAGGTCTTGCCCTCACAGAAATGAGCCTTATCTGGGAAATGGTTCCCTGTTAAATCTAAGCCATCAGTGACAACGTGAACTCAGTACTGGATGGAGGACACAGTCTACCATAGGGAACATGGGTGGGCTTCCTGAATGCATAGGAATTTGTAGGCATCTGTATGATTTCACAGCGCATATTGCCTTCATAATAGTAATGCTATGAAAGCTATTTTTTTCCAAAGAATATTTTTGGAGGGGTGGCAGGGTCGGGGTATGGTTTGCCTGAGAAAATGCATAGTAATCGTCTTTAGGCTCCTGTTAGTTAAATAACCCAGAAGAGAGAAATACAGCAATGTTCCACTAGATGGCGCGATACCTGATATAATTCATCAAGCATGTCCAAATTGGGTTTTATGTGACCCCGTCTTTCCCAGCAGATTTTCCTTGGTCCTTTTGAAGTAGTTTGAATTTAGCTATACTTCAAATGAAATGTATCTGCCAATTAAAAAGAATTTCCAGTCTAATGTTGATCTCCATTCCTGATTCAAAATACATGTATTTCTAGTCCAGGCAATTTAGCACTACAAAGCCAGGCTCAGACCCAAAAATCACCAGGTTCATAGCAAAAGGTTTGTTGTTTCAATTTAAACGAATACCAAAGCCAGATGAGTTAATAACACTGATACTGCCAAGTACAAGCAAAATTGATATAAAAATCTTTTAACTTTCATTTTGTCAATATCCTGTGGGCTAATATAGTCAAATATGAGTTTTGTGCCTATCTTTGGCTGTCTGAGATATTAAAAACGCAGAGGTCAGGCTATTAAAATGCTTTGCAGAGCTCTGAAATACAACAGTGTGCTCCAAAATATAGCCATATGACTTGGAGGTCTGGTAACAGCATTTAGAAAGGAAACTGATTAATCTTATGTCAAAATGAGAAGTTTTTGAGAGCACATTTAAACAAATATCTCATAAGTGAAAAGTTGTGAGATTCACAATCTACTGAAGTTTATAAACTTCCTTGGGGGAGAAAAAGGGTACAGATATCCTTATCTTCTATAACTCTTTAAGTCAGTCTACTAGTACATGTGAACCACGGGAAAGACCTTCACTGTAGTTGTTACAGGTAATATAGGTATATACAACGGGAGGTGCCAGAAAAATGTATACACATTGTAAAGAGATGTTATCTATGTATTACTTTTCGAAGTTGAATTGAATTATGGTAGCGATGTGTGTTATGACATTTGCTCAACTGTGTTTCCACCATTTTCTTTGACTATCCTGCCTGTCACATGGTGATGCTAGCATTTGTCTGATTAATGCCATCTTGTCAGTGAAGGTCATACTTAAAAATGTGTATACATTTCTTGGCAACCCCCTGCATATAATACATGTATTTCTAGTCTAGGCAATTGAGCACTACAAAACCAGTAGCACTACTATTATATACAGGGGGTTGCCAAAAAATACTAACCAGGAGAGGTGGCTCATGCCTGCAATTCCAGCACTTTGGGAGGCTGAGGTGAGTGGATTGCTTAAGCTCGCGGGTTTGGGACCCACCTGGGCAGTGAGACCTCATCTCTACAATAAATCCAAAAATCAGCCGGGCGTGGTAGCGCATGCCTGTAATTCCGGCTATTTGGAAGGCTGAGGCAGAAGGATCACCGGAGCCCAGCAGGTTGAGGCTGCAGTGGCCGGGAGCGGCCACTGTACTCCAGTCTGGGCAACAGAGTGAGACTCCAACTCAAAATAAATAAATAAATAAATAAATAAAATAAAATAAAATAAAAATTTAGAGACTGTGGGAAGTAACATGAAGGGTAGTGAAAAAGATCCCCCAATACTTCCAGCCAATAGTGTGTGTACATATCAGATCACTGTCTAGAGTTGTAAGTTCAGTTTCATTGATATACCTCAGAGATATTCCAGGAAGTCTAAATCGTTCAGTTCTAGAGAAATACTTCCTGAATTGTCATATGTGCCCCCTTTTGGCTCCTTTCTATCCCTACCTCCAAATTAACATGAGTTCTGTGAAGAAAATCTCAGTAAAACTCATTCGAAACACACCACATACAAAATATCCCCTTATTAGAGATTTCTGGTGTACATAGGCATATTAAGAGGATATCAAAATCTCTGAGATACTCTGGGAAAGGAAAACCTATGTAACTAAACTCAGTATTTCCCAGATTTAAATCCCCTGTCCAGTTCCCGCCACTGTCCTTGGGGATACCTATTGGCAGTTCACAGGTCACTAGTATTCTCTAATTGAGTAACTGGGAAACACTATTCCACAGATAAAAGTATTAAAACATTTTCTTGCCACATTGAAAGCATTGTAAAGATTTAAAAGACTTACCAAAATAATCTATTTAATATCCTGAGAGTTAAGATTTTTGCTTAAATTTGGCTTCTTGGTACAATTGTTTAACTTTTGCCCTATCATTCTCCTAATTGAAACATCATCCGTATTGGGAAACAATTGTTTTGTTACTCCTGTAAAAACAAAACAAAATAAAAAACCAATAATAATATACAAGAACATTTTATGAAGCCTTTACATCTTAAGGTGTGAATTGAGGTAAAACATCAAGGATTCTAACATTTTAGTTTTGCTTCCATTTTACAAAATTAACCCACTCATGAGATATTTAAATAGATACAGATTTAGGCAGGTTTTTCAATGTAAAACAAGAGATATCAGAAGGTCTGTATTGTAAACTGAGAGCATACATATTTGTGTCCCTGTGGTACCTCTCAACTTTAACCCTACTACTTGCTTTGAACTCTAAGTCCCCCTGCTCTAAAATGTTTCGCATTTATTTTTCACCCATTCCCAACATCAGTTGAAAAAACTAGATTCTGACTGATCCTTTTTCAACTGAGAAATGATATATAGAACTGGGATTCAGAGAATCCCTAAATTTGTTGGATATTTGCAAAAAAATTAATTAGATAATCTAGATGATTATATTTAAGGAGATTCATTAACTTAAAAACCATAAATAGGGTAGTCAAATTAACCTCTGTCTTTCTAGAAGAAAAGATAAGGGTATAACCAAGATAAAAAATGTAAAAAAAGATATAAACTGTTATTGAAACTTTACTTTAAAATATTTTGAACATTTATTTTTCTAAAGCTATGAATTTTATGAATTCAAGCTTTTTGGTGATATAAAACTTAGTTTTACTTTAATAATTTTTTTTTTTTTGAGTTGGAGTCTCACTCTGCTGCCCAGACTGGAGTGCAGTGGCCCGCTCCCAGTCATCGCAGCCTCGACCTGCTGGGCTCTGGCGATCCTCCTGCCTCAGCCTTCCAAATAGCTGGAACTACACCCAGCTAATTTTTTGATTTATTGTAGAGATGAGGTCTCACCAAGGTGCCCAGGTGGATCTCGAACCCACGGGCTCAGGCAATCCACTCACCTCAGCCTCCCAAAGTGCAGGATTACAGGCTGAGCCACCGAGCCCGGCTTAATAACCATTTTTTATTTGGTTTGGTTTGGGTTTTTTGCATGTGATTTTTAATTTTTTTTAAATTACAATCTTGCTCTGTTGTCCAGGATGGAGTGCAGTGGCATGATCATGGCTCACTGTAGCCTCATTTTCCTGGACTCAGGTGATCCTCTCACCTCAATCTCCTGAGTGTTGGGACTTCCGGCATGTGCTACTACACCTGGCTAATTTTTATTTTCTTATTTTTAAATTTTTTTTGTAGAGACAAGGTCTCCCTATGTTGCCCATACTGGTCTTGAACTCCTGGGCTCAAGATCTGCTCCTGCCTGAGCGTCCCCAGTGCTGTGATTCCAGGCATGAACCACCATGCCCAGTCAATAATCTTTTTTTTTTTGAGTTGGAGTCTCACTCTTGTCACCTAGGCTGGAGTGCAGCAGCATGCTCACAGCCACTCCAGCCTCCACCTGCTGGACTTAGGCAATCCTTCTGCCTCAGCCTTCCAAGTAGCTGGAATTACAGATGCATGCCACCACGTCCAGCTAGTTTTTGTGATTTATTGTAGAGACGAGATCTCACCATGTTGCCCAGGCTGGTCTCGAACCTGCAGGCTCAGGCAATCCTCTTGCCTTGGCCTCCCAAAGTGCTGGGATTACAGGCTGAGTCACCGCGCCCAGCCCAATAATTATTTTTCAATGTAAAGTTTTACTATGAAATTTGTCATATTTAATGAGAGTTTTAGATTATCCTGAGGTTTTTCTTTCATAGAAAAACAAGTTTGAAAAAAAAAAAAAGACCATGAAAGAATAACTTGACCTTAAATGGTAACAAAATTTTAAACTCATATGACAATATAATGCAATCATATTATCACCTATGATTTCTTGAACTTCATTCTGATTCATGGCTGGTTTTACAGCTTTGTCCCTTGAAGTAGAGGATTTTGCCCCCGTCAAGCTGTGTGTGGCCATGTATTCGTTTGTGTAAAGTACTTGCATTAAATCGTTAATAAACTTCTGAGGCTTGCTCTTATTACAACGGGCAATCTGCCATTTTTCAATCTTGAACTAAAAAATAAAAAAAAGATTGAAATTGGAAAAAGAAAGTGATATCTGGAGAAATATATTATTAATTGAGTTAAGACATACCAGAAAGCAGTGTCAACATTCTTTACAGTGATGTATCATTCTTTTAATTTATAGTGTATATTTCAGGGGTTTGAGTTCAATATAATCTTTGAGATAATTTTCAATGTTTATGAGGTATTTGTTCCAGGGTATATATAAATTCTTGTCACCTAAACTGGATTTGGTGATTTCAGGATTAGTTCTAAACTGGACACTTCATACTAAAGTGGTATGCAGAATAATGACCCTCTGAAGGTGTCTACATCCTAATCCCCGGATGTTATCTTTGGGGCAAAAAAATTTTGTAGACGTGATTACAGTTAAGTACCTTGAGATGAGAGATTATCCTGGATTATCCAAGGGGCCCAATCCAATCACATGAGCTCTTAAAAGCAGAAGAGTAGATTAGAGCAAAGGAATAGAAGAAAAAGGAAAGCTCAGAAGAGTGAGAGGGACTTTGACATGCCATTGTTGACTTGAATGGCAGAAGTAGATCATAAACCAAGGAATGTGATTGCCTCTAGAAGTTGGAATGGCCTTTAGTTCACAGCCAGCAAGAAAATGGGGGGAGCTCAGTTCTACAACCCCAAGGAAATTAATTCTACCACAGCCTGAATGATAAGGAAAGAGATTCTCTTCTAAAACCTCCAGAAAGAATGTACCTGCCAACACCTTGAATTTAGTGTAATGAGACCTGTATCAGACTTCTGACCTATAGAACTCTGAGATAATAAATTGTGTTATTTGAAATCATTAAATCTGCAGCAATTTGTTATATAGCAATAGGAAACTGATACACTAAGATGCAAGAATTCTGAATATTAGATTGCTAGTTAATATTTAATTATCACTTTTAATAGCATATTTCCCAAAGCTTGTACCCAATTCTAGCAAAACTCTTGCCTTTTCAGCTTCTGCTTCATGATTATGAAACACTGAGAAAACAGAAAAAGAATTGTATTCAGCTAGCATGTTGAGGCTGAAATTGACTTCTCAATGATACAATATTTTATAACCCTCAATGCACAGGTTTAAGAATTGTAAGTTTAATAACTTCATCTTTGCCCACAATTTGTATTTGTTTCACAAATATTAGTTCTGATTGTAAAAAATAAAAGTTTTATGCAATAGGAATATTATGGTTGTGACCTAAACTTCCCTAAAGTTATCTGATAAAATAGGACCATTTTTTTTTAACCCTTATTTTAATGTTTGGATTTAACTGTATTACAAAGAATATGAGGGTGGAATTCTAACTGACCTGTTTCTCATCAATATGATGCTCCTCTTCTGCCTTCAAGGAAATTGGTGAACTGGAATTAGAGTTAGAATTACTGCATGTCGAGGCAAATGAATCTGGTGAGGAGTTGTTTGTTGCTCTCCAGAGGGTGGACGCAGACGTGGACATGGATCCTCCACCCTTAAGCAGGGCTTCTGCCATACCAACAAGTTCTTCAAACTGAGTGACTGCCTGTGGTAACACTAAAATGGCAAGAAAAAGTAACACTTCACAAAGACTGTTATCAAACACGAGTATATACATTTTTGTTGTTGTGGTGGATTATATGTGCATAGAAATATATGGAACAAATTGTGAACATTTTCTACCTTTGGAAAATAAACATGGTAGGAAGGGTGTTTGAAACATATTTATTTTTTATTAATAAATAATTTAATAATTGCTTAGTAATAACAAGTCAATTTTAAAACATTTGGTTATTGTATTTAAATGTATATGCACTACCTTGTAAGTAAAAATAATGTTTTAAAAAGATTGATTTTTTTTTTCTAATTGCGAAAAGTATTGTTTGAAGGTGCTGAATCTCTTGTATGGAAAGATAACTGACTCTACTATCAATCACCTTCTAAGAAGCTCACATTAGGCTTGTCTACATGCCGAGATAGAATCATGTCTCACAAATTAAAATAAATTTTCTATGACCTTTGTGTATTGCTTAAGAGGGAGTCAAACTTCATCAAATTAATAAAAATGCACTGCCACAATTCAAACCTATGTTGTCACATATTAAAGATGAATTTTGGTAATCAGTGGGATATTCTCTTGGTTCCTTTATTTTTGATGGAAACTTACACATTCAAAGGTTTCATGCCTCCATGTAAAATGGTCTTCTCTGTTGTTATATCTAGTTTGTTTCCTAAGGACAAATAACATGTTGTTGAAGTTGGAAGAGACCTTGAACCCTGTCTAATTCAATTCCTCACTCTGTAGTTGAGGGCACAGCCTGCTGGAGAGGTGAAAAAACTCTGAAACTTTATTTCTGTACATTTCTTAAACATATTATTGAGTTGTAATCTTTAGAATAATTAATGACATGTCTAAATGAGTACAGCTGGTACTATATTAAAAGGAAAATCCACTAAAGAAGAAAATCTCATTTTCTGTTCTTTCAGAAATTATTTATTAATTACCTCTCATGTGCCAGACACTTATTCCATCAATTATTTATTGAGCATTTAATAATATTAAATATTTATTGAGCCTTTACTCTGTACCAGGCACTATTCCAAGACTTTTACTGGTATTCTTTTGTTCAATACTCATTGCAACTCTCTGAGATAGGTATTATCTTTACCTCCAATTTCCAGATGAGGTCAATTAGGCAACAAGAGATTAAGTAGCTTGTCCACAGTCACCCAGTTAGTGAATAGAAGAACCAAGATGCAAATTCAGACTGTGCGGCTCCCAAGTCCATGCTATGCAGACCCTCAACATTTACTAACCACTATGCTAGTTGCTAAGGACAAAACTGGGAGCAAACCCAGATGTGATCCATGTCCTTTTAGAGCTTAGAGTCCAAGGGGTGAAGGGGAGACATTATTTACAAACCATGCTGAGTAGTAAGAATTTTGTCCTGCTCAAAGAAAAATCTGGTCTTTGTTCTGGTTCCTGGGAGGTACCTTCGAAATCCTTGGAATTTCCTGAGTAATAGGAGCATCTTTGTCATTCATGCTAAGCTCCTGGGACCATACCTGGTAACTGATACTAATGAGGTGACTCAGGGTGGGGTTTGTCACATGCAGTAGCTTTAAGGTGGCAGCTGGCCATAGCCAGAAATCAAGAAAAGCCAACCATATAATCAATCATGCCTACATAATGAAGCCCCAATAAAAAATTTGGACAGCAGAGTTCTGGTGAACTTCCTGAATAGATAATGCTCCATTTGTATTGTCACAAATAGATGCTAGGAGGGTAAGATATCCTGAGGACAATAGAAGCCTCACACATTTGGAGACTTTCCAAACTCTGCCCTCTTTCTTTGGCTGATTCTAATTTGTATCCCTTCCCTGTAATAAACGTAATCATAAGTGAAAGGACAGACCGAGAGTGGGAAGCCATTTTTCATCTTGTTCTTAAACCCTGACACAATGAAGAGAAAGTAGAAGCTATGCTTTCGGAGAAATGGACACTTAAGGAAAAATTTACTTTGCCAACTTTGTCTGTTTCAGAAACAGACTTCCTGGTGCCAGGTATCAGAGGTATCTCATAGCGGCAATCAAGCTTGCCTAGAATAAAGGGAATTTACAAGGCCTAAGACATCATGCATTGTGCAAAGATTGTAAAAGTCATGAAACTTGTAATTTAAAAAGTTATGACCATCAGAGTGGGGGCCGGTAGGGGTTCAATCTTCCAGTAGAATGGGCACTATCTCCAGGGAAGCCAAGGATCCCCTGAAGCTACCCACTGGGAATGCCTAGGAGATAAGGGGAGGTGCACCCTCCATTAGCTCTAAGGAATGTTGTTTGGGAAGGTGCAGGAGAATTAGAGTCCTTGTCATGCCGTTCTCTAGGGGCTATGATAATGTGGGTGGACATTAGTGGGTCTCTGTGGCACAGGTTCTCCAAGACATCCACAGGTGGTCGATAAGGAAGTCATGGCAGTCACGTCTACCTGACTGCAACATCTTCAAGGAAAAGGATTTAAGCCAGGACTTTGGGAGGCTACGGTGCCACACTCACCTAGAGTGTAAGTCTGCTCCCTGTCTGTGGGGGATGAACTTATCTTAAATAAATCTTTTCTTCTCTCACTCCTGTGTGTTGCAGCTCTTTGCATTTACTCAGATCTCTGGGTTGCCAGTATGCACCTCTGGCTTGCTGGCTCCAGTGGTGCTCCACCCCTCTCTACTGTGCCTCTCTCCCCTTGCCTATCCATCTCACCATCACCCTAACCATGCCCTAACAATAAGTGTTATAGATTTCAGTGAGTTCTTTGAGTTTTTCTAGCATATTCTTGAACATGAGGCTGGTTTTGAGAAACTCCTGAATTTGCAGTTGATGTCAGAAGTCTTGGGAAGACTGGAGGATAGTGCCCTTAACTTTGCAGTTTGGCTAACTTGAGGTACATGCCAAGAAATGAAAATGTATCATTCCTAAGTGTCACAAAGAAGAGGCATAAGATGCTTGTCCCAGCTTGGGTGACTTAGTATAACTCAAGGAGGTTGAGAAGGTCTTCTCTGAGGAGACCAAGATTGATCTGAGAATTGAAGACTGGGCAGGAATTAAATCACTGAAGAGAATGAGGGGGTCATTAGAGGCACAGGAAAAATACCTTCTTTATTTGAGGAACTGAAAGAAAGCCAAACCTAGAATGTCAAGAGAAAAAGGGCATTTGGTATGAAGTAAGACTGCAAGAGTATTTACTACTTTTTTTTTCTAATTATGAAAGTTGTATATGTTCATTGGCATACATCCTTGTCATTTTTACCCGTGAACCTCCATTTTTATTAAGAGTTTTGTGTGTGTGTGTGTGTACTGATGATAGAAGCTAAATGTTACAATTTATTCCATTTTTATGATTACAGACATTACAGGGCAGGGTAGGTAAACCAGGCAAACAAAGCAAACACCTTTTCCCCAAATTTAATCAGATGCAGTATTTTGCAGGTTGATTTAATGCACTGAATTGGGCTGAAACCTGGCAAGAGAAAATACTTGAAATTTAGGTTATTTCTCCACAGATATTGTAACCATAATCCACCAACATTGCTCAATTTTAGCACACTTGAGTTTCTGCAAGATGCCAGAGCAAGTGAGAAATCATCTCAAAGCAAAGATCATCATCTTTTACAAGTGTGAAAAAAACATGAAGAAAGAGGAAATAAAACTCTCTCAAACTGCTCATCAAAATGAAGGCCATCTTCATAGCCTTAGTTGAAAAAAACCAGAGTCCTCAATGGCTTGACTTGAGAAATCCATTTTCAAAGTGACTGTCTAAGTCAAGAAGAGTTTTCAGGCTTTTCTCTCCCATGGCCCATGAACTCCACTCCTTCAATAGGAGTCTCTTTCTCCTTTATCGCTTTCCTGAGGATGTTTTAGGTTAATTTGTTGGATGGAAGTGCTTTGTCCTGTGCTGTTCCTATCATTCAAAGCAGTTCCATATCCATTGGGTGGGAATGAAAACTTCCCTGCTGCAGATGAGGGGACTGAACACACAGCTGGTAATGCTTGGAGAGGTCGGTGCAGGGGTCCCGGTGCTGACCCACTGGAGAAACTTCTTGGCAAACCAGCGACTGAAGCACTGGTTGTATTCGTGTTTCATGTCTGTGCATCCCTCAGCTACACTGTTCATGGCGAAGGTGGTGGCGGCGGTGGCAGCGCTCCCTGTAATGTATTTTCTTTTACATAACTAGAATCATACATCACACTCTGTCATGGCTCTTTGTTCCAATTAAAATTGTAAGGTGACTGTTTTGCCTGTTTTAGTAAATCTTCTTGGGAAACATGATTTTTTTTAAGATCTAATTTACATAGAGTTGAAGGTAAGATCTTACATGAAGTCCAAACAAAAACTAAGTAAAGAGGATAAGGTTGACAAACAGATACGTTCCTTTAGCACACACCTCATTAAGATATAGAATATTTCCATCCCCCCCAGAAAATTCCTTCATGTCCCTTCTATGTCAATCCTCGTGCTTGCCTCAGAGGTTACAACTAATCTGACTTCTTTAGCCATCAATTTTACTTGTTCTAGAATTCTATATAAATGAACTCAGAACATATGTTCTCCTTTTTTGTCTCTTTTTCTCTGCATAATATTTTGAGATTCATTGATGTTGGTGTATATTGTAATTCATTCCTTTTTGTTGCTGACCAGTATTCTATTACTCCACAATTAATGTATCTATTCACCTATTGATGGGTTATTTTCCATTTGAAAACACGATCTTAATGGTTCCCTAAAATTCCAAGACATTGATGTTCTATATTTATTTATTTATTTATTCTTTTGGAAATTAGGGTGTTACCAAGTTTTCTTTAATAAAAGCAAAACTCTGACGAATCTTCTAGCAAGCACGTATTCATATGTATCTCTGATCACGTCAATGCTATACATTCCTGAGAGCATTAGAATAGGAGGGTCAAAAGGCATAAATGTTTTCAAAACTCAATTCATATTACTTAATTGCTCTCCAGAAAGATTTTTCTAATGTATATACCTACTAGCAACATAAGAAATTGACCAT